ACAACGAAATTTGATCATTTCGAATCATAGCTCGCGCCTTTTGTTTCTCGTTCTTAATAATGGAAGTTAAAAAGAGAGCGGTCGATCCTGCTGTCATTGTCAGATTCATCCGTTTCATTATATGCAGCATTTAACGACCGCCGGTTGCATAATCCTCCTCGCCGCGCGTACCTGAGAGCGTTACTTTCGAAATTCGCAAAGCGGAAAGGCTGCGAAAACGAGGTGGCTCAACGACGTCGTAGGCGTTTCGCGATTTTCTGCCGTTAAACGGCACTTTAATGACGCGGCGCTCGCGAGGAGCCGATTCACGGAAAGTATAATATTTAACGATTCTTTCGCGGTAAAGCCGTTAACGCACCGCCGGCTCGGATATACTTTCGCTAATCGACGAGATCGAATCCTGTTTAGAGGAAATTATCGCGGAGCGGTTACTGAAAATTAAATTCTAACATGTTCTAAACATCGAGAACAGACTAAACGCTTAACGTGTGTACAAGGCACGTTTCCACTCGCGAACTTGGTCGAATGCTACGTCTTGATGAAAAAAAAATGTTCGCGTTCCTTTTTCATACCAAAGAGATCAGTAGTGTAATTGTCCTAAATATCGTTTATATGCGCATGTTACACGATTGCGTGCACGCAACAAGTCTCAATTGAAGAGAACGTGTGTGCGTTTCCACATGAATATAGTTGTCTGTTGCGTCAACCGCGTAATTCGTCGAGCGGGATATTATCCATTAATTTGGGAGAGCAAGAGCTCTCACTTGGTCTCGGATTAAATCTCTTCTTTGGATATCGCGAGGCTCGCAAGTTGAAAGGATATTGGTATGCGTCGTTGCGCGTGTCCACCCAAGGATACGTGGGCGACCGATCCATTCGGAGATCGACGGATCTATGGACGGCGATACACACGCGCGGCCTGCCTGCGCCGCAGCTACGCAACCGACCGGTCCCGAATTACTCAGGATAAATCGCTAATTATGCAGAACCGAACCATAGATAGCACGTGTGAGTTTTCTGACGACCGGCGGCACCGGTTTCAGGGCCGACGGATTAATTTCCTCATTTTATTTCTGTCAAATCGCATAAATCACGTTTATGCAACATTGGCGAATATCGGCTGATGTATTATCGCGTCGAAACGCGTATCCAATTGCAACATCGAAAAGCTATCTTCATAATTCTACATATATTAATGTTGTTAATCCGTCCATCTCTTAACGTGTTTAATTGCTCGCGTATGTCAAATCGAGTTCGTAATTAGCGTTTTGAGGAACAGCGTATATGGGGAAAGAACGAGAGAGAGAGAGAGAGAGAGAGAGCACGGTGAAATACAGAATATTTCGCGATAAAATAAAATTGCGAAAATACTCGTTATCGCATTTTTGAAATAGTTTCCTTGAATCATTTCTACTGTGCACATATACGGGAGAGTAAAATTGTATATACGTAACATTTTAAGCGTTAAAAGTCTTATCTTACGATCATTATATAACAGGATTATAGAATTTGCATCGACATTTTTCCTCTCTTCTCTTCACCACGATAGAGTCTACCTTATGGCTCAAGTAGAATCGCGGTTTCAGCTCGCGAAATCGCGCATCACCATTCCCCGAGAAAAGTGAATATCCTGCAAAAATCGGAACGTACGATAACATCGGAACAGTCATTAGCCGGTCAACGATCGTATCGCGGCTATCTGCGAGATTTTTTGATTACCTGCGTCCAATTATCAATTCACATCGGCTTTATATCGGGAATAGCGATACGGGCCTTATGAATGAACGGGAGGCGAACCCGTGTGAGTTAACTCGCGCGAATCCACGCTTTGCGTTTATAATACCCGGCGTGGTGCTCTGCAAGGCCGCTTCTTACGACGAGCTCCTCTCCGCGTAAGGGGGCCCCGCGATGTTCCTTTTGTCGGGCCCCCGATGGTCGCCGGGTACACGAAGCCATTAATATTATTACCGAGCGAGAGCGTGTGGGTATCATTATCGCGGACGATGGAAAAAAAACGACGATCGAAAAGGAGGCCGGAGGAACAAGAAAGCGAGGAAGAAAAGGAGACGAGCGAGAGGAACATGAAGAGGTGAAGAAAGAGGAGAAGAAAGAGGGAAGGGTGAGAAGAAGAGAGGCGGTGGTAGTGGTATCCCTCAGTAAGAGAGAACCTCCACACGCTCGATTCGCGAGGAGGCTCCTCGATTACGCGGGCATTCGAAATTTTCGAGGCTCTTCCGACACAGTGCCAGGGAATGAACCCTGGAAATTGATGTTGCCCGGCCACGCAATCTCGGCCTGTTCAAACTGCTCGATTTTTCTCACCTACCCGTAACCTCTCTCTCTTTCTCTCTCTTTCTTTCTTTCTTTCTCTCCCTCTCTCTCTCTCTCATATTGTCTCTTTTTCTTCAAGCATCTTAGAGAAAGAAACATATTTATTATACTTGTCGTGACCCGGGAGCGGCGCGCGGAGTACGCACGTTAGTCGCCATGAGCACTCTCGCACATAGCCACGGTGAGGAAAGTGGTATACCGCGCAAAGATTAATGTCCCGCAAAAGAGGCGAGAAGAAGAATATCGGCCCCCGCAAGGTTCGGTGATTTATCGCGATGTGGCCCGTTTACCTCGGAATGCTCGCGGAATAAATTCTCCTCTCGCGTAATTGCCGAAAGACAAATAAGCTGCGTCACCTGGGAGACATGCTTTTACGTATCGCGCGACGCGCTAGCTGATGCAAATGTAACGATGCCGAACCAGATTGCGCTGACCGGTAATGTGCGTTTGCGACAAATTCATTTCTTGGAATAAACATTTCTTAGGAAATTTTTCTAGATTTTGACGAATTTCATAAAAAGGGATACTCTACATGAAATTTAATATTTATGATACAACATTTGATCAATAATTATAACTTCGGGAATTTCTGATTACTCGTCAACTTACACCTACACTTATTCCTTTCGGCTTAGAACGTCATACTAAGTTCACGAGCATTTCATACGCACCGGCGTCATGTGCCGCTATACACAATATAATTAAATCGAGATAATGCGCTTTACACGATATGCTAAGCACACGCACGATTATACGTTGCGATTAAATCATGATATCATGATCATTACGATAGTACGGTATTAACCCAAGTGTTGGTCGTTAGTTCTGGCGTTATTTTCTCGCGAAGGACCGTTAGAAAACTTACATTTAAAATCACAAGCGTTTGTTCTTTATCGTAATATTATGATACTTATAATAATTATCCTCATGTATGTAATCTTTATAATATATTAAGTCGCAATCTCTACTCTTATCTTCCTCATCTCCATCTGTTATCTTTTAATGATCTAATTAGAATAGATCTTTCAATCTTAATCGCACAAAAACACGTTGAATTATAAATAAACACCGGTATTAACATATTACTGATGCTAAATAACATTAGATAATATGAGAAGAGGTTTCCTTTTTTGCGTATAAATTATGGAATTCTTTCATTGCGTGATGAATATCGCTCTATTAACGAACAACTTTAAATATTACATCATACTAGATATTTATGAGAACATATATTTCCTTTTTGTTTTCGCTATAAATCGCACGGCTATTTATTAACGTGTGTATCGTGTGAAAGTTCTCGTAATTTGCACGATTAATATGAATAATGCGCGCGAAGAAAAATTATACACGTACAAGGGATACTTTACGTTCGGTCGGTAACACAGAAGACTCACTGTCCGTTTGAACGCGTGACGTCACAAATTTGCAACCGTCGACTTAGTTCTCGTCCTACATGGCCGGTGTGTAGACGAATCGCGATTGCTTCCTCGCTATACGACCTTTTTTCGCCGTCTCGTCCGTTTATTCGTACGAACGAATACCGGGAATGCCGAATCTGGCAACGAACGATTGTTTCGGCTCTGCCAGTTTGTCGGGCGATTCGCTATTAACGCGTCTTTCGATATTCGTCGCTTGGTCGGTTTACGGGCGACGATCGGGAGAGTCCATTTTTCTAAGACGCCCCCCTAATCGAGTCGGATCGCCCTTTTTCGTTGTCTCATACACGAACGAGTTCGTTTCCTGTACACGAACGAGTGCTCGAGAATGTCGAATCTAACAACTGGCAATCGTCTCGGCGCAGCATTGAACTCGAATGACCGTGATTAATGCATTTCTCGGTACTCGTCGGTCAACGGTCGATCGAAAGAGTCCATTTTTTCGGTACGCAACGAAGCCGAGTCGCTTTGCATTCTGGGATCTTCGCCGTTCCGTTCGTTCGCTACCACGGACGGAGCGGGAGTGTCGAATCGAAGTACGGACAATTGTTTCGGTGTGTTGAGTGGGCTCAAGTAACTGCGTTTCTCGGTATCCGTCACTCAGTGATGCTCGTCACGTCGACGGCGGTCAGAAGATCCCATTTTTTTTGTTCTAATACGCGCGTTATATACACGGAACACTTGTTCGCCCGACGATTATCCCGAGTCATTCAGCATTCCGAGTACCGAGACGTAAGGATGGTCACGGGACAAATAGAGACAGGTAATTTCACTTGTCTATGATATTCTCCTAAGGTGGTTATTTGCTTGATGTCCGTTACAATTGTCGAACGACACGTCCTCTTTTAAATTTCAATGTCGGTCAAGAGTACAAGTAGTGACATGTTGCGGCAGGTTCGATAATGCCGGGTGAATCTATGGACCAGTTTAATACGTTAGATAATCCGGTTCTTTTCAGGCTGATTTTTTATGAAAGCTCCTCCAACAAAGATGGTCTTGACTAAGACACACACACATACACACACACACACAAAGGTATTCCATTTTAAATGAAGACTTCAAGTATCTCTTGAACAGTACATTTTGAAGAAAAATATTTGTGAAGTCGTCATTTAAAATAGGACACTGTATATATACACGTTACAATTATTTGCCAATTTCAAATTATATATAATAGACATTGCACAAGAAACGTTCTTAAAATTACTACAATTATATTTCTATTGTTGACAGAGTGACCAGCACCGAGTCGTACTTTCTGAGCGAAGGGGCATATGCGCCACCGGAAGAGCTTGAAAATACTCACGAGGTCGTCCTGCAAGTGATAACTATCGGAGCTTACATCCTCGATCCAACACTGGTAAGTTTAACGAACATTCTCCTCTACTGGTGAATTTGAACGAACATTCTCCTCTACAATATAGTTACGCATGATGCACAGAATGAAGGTTACTCATTTTCTTCCTACGATTTTTTTACTGTACTAGTTGGTCACTCTATAATATCATTGCACGGAGAGTTGCGTCGTCGTATCGTAATAAATCAATAAAGAAACGAAAAAGAAGATGCTTAGGTTAAATGGAATTTTAAATTAATTATTAAATCATGTTAACGAGGAAGACAAAATTTCAATTCACAATAGTCGAGTCTGAGATGAAGCGAATGAAGCTTTTCATAAGTTGGGCTTATTTTTTAAATGTTTGCAAACAAGGACGCTTCACTCTGCTTCCATTATTAAAATTGCTCTTCAACCGATAGAATCCGTACAATTAATAAAATCCGTAAAATTATTATGCACGCGATGTTCACGTTAACCTTCATCCCGAGCTTTCTTGCTTTCGAAAAGCACGTAACGTCGCATCCTTAAAGGCCCTTAAAATTCTTGCCGACCGATCGAACGGCTTCATGCTGTTCGGTTCTCTCTCTTGCACGCGCGAGAGCGCCGGCTCAATAAGCGGCGGATAGGCGTATAAATAAAAACACGGCTAATTGCGAAGCGCGCGCGGATGCCAGTCCATCCGTCGACCTTTCTTATCTGACGTGAGCGCCGATTAAAATTACGTATAGCCATGCACGCTCGTATCCGCGCCGGTCTCGCACGGCGCTAGGGCTATCTCGTAGCCCTCTCCTCGGGTCGCTAATTAAATGCAACGGCTAATTAGATAACTGATAAAAGGTTATGGCGAGCGGCACGATGTACTTCGGATCTCCCTCTCTCGTCCGCGCGCGCCCCCGCGCGAATTCTCTTTCGCCACGTCCCTCCGCGCCGGCGATCTTTCCTCTTCCACCTACAATACGCCGAGTTCGTCCCGCTGAAATCTGAAACTCGACTCGAGTTCCACGGTCGATGAGGTCCTCGTGACCTTGAGAAAGAGAGAGAGAGAGAGAGAGAGAGACTTTGGGGCTTTCTCTCCGAATATTCTCGCGCGGAAGATGACTACGTGGGTAGAACGCGATATCGGACTTTATTCGTTTCAAATATGCATATGTGTTGCGCGCGCACGCCTTGCTTAAGAGTCAGACGTCTATTTAAATAGGCACATAATTCCCCGTGGATAAACAATGTTACGTAATGCGGAATGTGTATTGTAGCGTAACACGAGAGTACGGTAAACAGTCGTAAAAATAATAGAAGGTAACCAGAAATACGCCGATTTTTGAATCTTAAGCAATTTTCTTCCCTTCCGCGTTTCTTCCTTTCTCGTCTAAATTTATTTTTGTAACGTTCAAAATATTTTTTCTTATCTCTTACAAAACGAAGTCCCGCGCGGTCCGATCTTTATTCATCGCTACTCATAATGGACGGCTTGTCGGCTCTTTCTCCATTTGGAGAAAAGAAACTGTTATTTCCTGTCTCCGTGGGAAATTTCTTGCGACTCAATCCGACGACTCCACGATAGAATCGTCAATATAAACACATTACAATCCTTTACACCGTCATTTCGCGACGCGCAATCAATGGGAATGATTTATCGTAATAATAAAATTCTATTTTAGTTCGGTACACTTATTATCGTGGAGCACGTTACGGGGTCCGCGAAACATCGATGACCGAGACGAACTTCCTCGAGAAAGTGCTCCCTCGTTGTTTATTCTGTTGCGATAATAAGTCTTGGAACTGGTTAGCATTCCGCTTCGTATGCCTCATTACCTGGCCGAAGGGCCTGGTATTTTATTTACGCGTTTATGCTCGGGTACAGTTATTATAATTGCTTGTCGCCCTTGCGTGATTTATGAAGGCTCGACTAACACTCACTCTTGAACGGTTACGTCCTGCTTCTAATAGCTACCGTGCCACTTTACACCGTGCTACACGATACTCCCGATAAACGACGAAAAATCCGCACGTATACGCGCTTTTTTTTCTCTGTTTCACGTAAATTCCGCGATACATTTATTGATGAACTTGATGTGCAATCTGCTGCATACATTTATGTTTAATTCACCGTTAAACCTCTTCTAAATATCCTCTTCAGTTTCCTATCATTTCGCAGTAATTGCGCGAAAAAATTGCAGTCTCTTTCTCTCTCTCTCTCTCTATCTATCTCTCTCTTTAATTAAATATCACGTTTCTAAAGAGCAATTATACATGAATAAGGTATGCCGTTACCCGTATATTTTAAGTCATTCTACGGTGTTTCATACGAATTATGTTCTCTTGTAAACGAGACAGACGCAAATAACTGAGGATTAAGTTAACGCAGACGTATTAAGTATTTTGCAAACCACGTGAAAGATGTTCATCTTCTTCCTCGACGTTTGCAATTTATATTCTATATTGAGCCTTAATAGTCGATACTATTGACATACACACACACACACATACGCGCATCCACGAAGCGCCAGAGCTACATCTCTTTCTTCTTCTTCTTCTTCTTCTTCTTTCTCTTTTGGTTTAAGCACAATTAGCGTATTTCTACGAGCTTTACCGAGAGGTGTGGGGGAAGCGGCAGTAGAAAAAAGAGAGATACAAGTGGCGGGTAGAAAGAAAGAGAGAGAGAGAGAGAGAGAGGAGAGACTGACTTCGGTGGACCTTTCGTGGTGGTCTTCCGGGTATATTGAATAATGCATGCCGCATCTGGCGGTAACATTGTTGCGCGGCCATGCAGATACGACACGGAAGAAATTGCCGATTGACACGTCGACGGTTTTACGAGTCAACGACTTTCGTGCATCCGGTATTTGGAAATTAAAGAAAGTCGCCGTCCATGTAGGACGCAATTCGTGGAACGCTGTCGCAACGCTCGTTGCTGCGATCGAATGAGTTGCTTCGAAAATAACGTGGGTCCAGGACGTGAAGTTGATTGATTGATATTAAGAAAGAAGAGCCATTTCTGAAATATAAAAATTATTTGCAAACGGTACAACACTAGAAATAATGGCTAACGTCGCGAATAGAAACTTAATAGGGGAATTTTTTTTCAAAAAATTTATGGAAAATGATTCGGACGAGAAATATATCTCTCTTACGAGAGATTGATAGAAAAAAGACGATAGATAAATCTATTGGATGATATAGCTTTTTTAAAGCGCAACACAATGTAGTTGAATTTTTATCAAAAGAATTATAGCGTATGAAATATATTTCATAGAATATTTCCGTTTTTTGACGATTTTATCTCAATAATTTTAATACATAGATATCGAAAGGAGTCGATTTATGTTAAGACAGAAACGCGTACAATTGTACATTGCAGGTGCATTGTTGCACCTGCGGAAAAGGTGACGTTATAAGAAGTGGACGGCCTCATGAACGACCGGTTTAATACTAAAATTATCTTGTGCACACGCTAAAGGAGTATGAAGAATTTACACTGTTTATCAATATCCAAGACGATGAAGTATACGCTTTTTTATTTCTGTATCCTAAGTAAGCATTGCAATCCGTAGCGCGCCGTGGCGAGATATACACCGTCGGCGGTGTTAAATGTTCTCGCGGGCGCTTTAAAGGATGCCTTTCTAAGAAAACGTTGCTAAATCCGCTTGCCGCGGCTCCGCGCTGGAGTAAATGGGCATATTTTTACAAACGAGCGTGTCTCTCTCGTGAACCGTGCTACGCACACGCTCGTCGCGGTCGCGCGTGCGAAAGATGGTCGGTCAACTCGCAGACACAGCAGCGAGCATAAATTATTCAGGCGATGTAGCAAAAGCGATTAATTTTATTGGCCGACGTCCCGGATATGGCTCGTCTGTACCCGTCACCGTCGCTTTGTTGCAACGTCCTATCCTATGCCCCGTGTTTCTCGATCATGTGCCAGCCAAGCTAACACCTTATTAACAGCAGTGGTTGCGCGAATGTCGGCCGCAGGAAAGTTGCGCAAAGTCACTCACTCGCGCGACCGCGCTCTCCCTCCCGCTCTCCGTCCTCCTCTCTTTCCAGAGTCGACTAATATTATCTTACATGTTGGAAATGAATTCGCGAGGCTCACGTGTGAAATTTGCCGCGAACCAATATCTCCGAGTGAACAACAATTTCATGTATTAACGATAGTCCGCGCGAACGACGCAATAGTTCGCGCGTTCCCCTAGCGACTCGATATCGTAATTGTGACGATAAAGTCGCGAATCGGTCGAGCGAGGGTGAGTAAAAGGGACGTTTTCTGGGACGGTATCGTTGCCGTTACTACGTTGCCCGACCGCGATATCAAATTTCTCTCGGCATATTTCAATTTGCATTCCGCGTCTTTCAGCTGATGACTCATGACACGGCTACGAAATTGACACATGGTTCGCGAGTCGAGATAGTCACACATCATTCGCGCCGTATAGTCAGGGGG